ATTATAAGCAAAATATTTGCAGCTCAGGAAGCAGGGAAAGGCTAGTTAAGTGTCAGAGCTGAAATCTGAGTCTGGACCTTCCTAACTGCAAAGGCAGCATGTGCTGTTGACATTCGTGGAGGCCAAGAGACGGCTGGTGTCACTGGAGAGCTCTGGACCCTATGGAGACCGTGGCTGCATTGAAATAGCAACCTTGGGGCCTTGGGCACATCCTCCCCTCTCTCTGGGTCTCCGTCTTCACATCCACACAATAGTGGTTCCATCACTGACCTGCCAGTCCCTTGGCTGAGAGCTTATCAAAAGTAGCACACGATTAACAATGAGATTTCAACCAAAGGGCCCTCCCAGGGCCTTGTCCTGCTCCCTCTGTCTGAAACAGCCTCCCCACCTCTTCAGCAGACTGCTGACCCTTGCCTCATCCTCCCAGACTGGCTCAGGGTCCCTTCTGGGAAGCCTGCTCCCTCCTTCCCCACCTCCACCTGGGTGACGTTTTCCTTCTCTGGGTCCCCACCACACCCAGCCCTTGTCTCCATTGCCGCGCTGACTACAGGTACAGGGAGTGTCTGTCCATCTGTCCACCTCAGCCACTGGGCTGCAAGCTCGGTGAGGAAGGGCAGCCGTCACCGTCTGTCCCAGCACCGGGCACAGAGCCGGTGGCCCGGGGCTGGATCCCCCAGTGGGCCGACGAAGCACGGGCTTTGACTTTTCTTTCTCTCTACTTTTCACACTTACTTTATGACTTAATGTGTTTATTTTAAATTACGTATGGGGAGAAAGAGGCTCCACCGTCTTTTCCTGCCAGCGTCAGAGCCCCTCCAGGTGGCTGCAGGTAGGCCTGCCGGACACGGGGTAAGTGCTCAGCACACTTCGAACACGCATTTGAGAAACTGAACTGAAATGAACTGATCGCTCCCAGATGTGTCCTGAAAAGCCAAGCTTTTTGGCAAAAGTAAAGATCAACTCTTCTGCCTGACACTGGCCATGCAAAGAGCTCCCTGCTTCCCTGGCCACTGTCCCCTTTCCCAGGACACAGCTGCTCCTCTAGCTGCTGACTTCTTTACATGGGTGTTAAGGGAAAAGGGAGTAAATCTTCTCATAGCCCAATTCACCACCAAATATCGTCCCACCTACCTTCACATATGTCCCAAGCCCAGCCATGTATGTCACCTGGTCTGTCATCTCCCACCTGGCCTCTTGCAGGAGCCTCCTGGATGGTCTACTTGATTCTCCCATTGCCCCTCCATGGTCTCCACACAGCAGCCAGAGCAATCTTTTTAAATCTAAGTCAGAGCATGTCCATTTCCAAGGACCCAACATCTCTGGGTCAAGACCTAAGGCCTTACATGGTCTATCAGGTCCCTCCACTAACCACTGAGCTCTCTGGCCCTCTCCTCTGTTGACTTCTCCTTGCTACTGGGCTCCCGTCTTCTGGCTTTGCCTGAAATTCACCAAGGATGCTCCTGCTTTACACCTGCTGCCCCCGCTGCCTGTACATTCCCCCCGATATGCTCACGGCTCCCTCCGACATTTCCATCAAGCCTCTTTCAATGCTGCCTTCTCAGAGGGGCCCTCACACACTGTCCCATGAAAAACTTGCAGCACGACTCCCTGCCCACCCCACCCTCACTCCTTATCCGCCTTCTATTTTCTTTTTCTCCAGAGCACTTGTCTCCCTCTAACATTATACAGAATACACTTGCTTATTTATATTGTTTATCATTCACTAGCAGATGAAACCCATCAGAGAGAAATCTTTGTCTGATTTTTTCACTCACAGAGCATCCCTAGCACCTAGCGCAGAGTATGGCACGTGACAGATGCTCAGTGAATATCTGTAGAGTGGAGGAAAGTAAATCAAAGGAAAGATAAGGGAACAGCAGTGTCGTCACTCAGGTCCTCCTTTTTAACCTCCTGCAGGTACGATCACATCTGGGCATCAATGCTCCCCACCCCCACCCTGGCCACCTACCTCAGAAGTCAGGTGTGACACAGGACATCTTCCCACAACCATTGAGGCAGCATTTCATATTGCCGGGACACTGGCTGTCCTCCTGGCACTTGTTCACACAGAAGCCCAGCTGGGGGAAGGCAAGGTCGATCTGAGGGCAGGAACCCTTCTTTTCTGGGTAGAAAAAGGAATTAAGGAGCATGGGCACAGGGGAAGCAGGGAGATGAATGCATCTCCACAGCATGACCTCCCACCTGGATTCACAAACAGGAGAGCTGCCTGCCTGCATGGATCTCAGGGAGTGGGACTAGATCTCAGGGGATCTTGGAAGATCACCCACAATCCCCTCTCCTCCTGCTTTCTCTCCTAGAACTTTGGGATCAAAGGACCTCAGACTGAATCCCAGCTCTGCTTTTTCCTAACTTCCTGGACTGAGGCCGGAAAACTCCCAGAGCCCCAGTGTCTTCAAGGGTCACATCACAGGGTTGTTGTGAAAGCAGTGGAGGCAACATACACATAGATCTTCTCCCTGCGAAGTCTAAGTCCCTTGTAATAATAGTAATAATGAGTAATTACAGCTGTTAACAATCAGCTCCTTCTATGTGCCAGGCATTATCCTAAGCACTTGGCAAATCTAGTCCTACAATAATCCTAAAAGAAAGGGAAACGAACTGTTGCAGATGAAGAAAATGAAATCCGAGAGATTAAGCAATTTACCTAAAATCATACAGGGTAGAGAGAGAATTTGAACCCAGGAATCTGGCTTCAGGTCTGTGCACCACGTATTCTGCTGCTTTGTATACTGTAAAGTGCAGTGCATGTGTGAGGAGTTCCACACCCACAAT